CTCCCCTTCCCTCCCTCCCCCTTTGGTGTTTCTTCCAGCTCAGCCTCTTTCTCATTCCATCTCTACGTGCCCAGAGCTTCAAATACAAACCTCCCATCACAGTCAGATGGGCACAAAACTTCAACCAGCCGTTTCTCTGCCTGGAAGCGGGGAAAATATAACCTGGATGGGTAATTACAAACAAGGTCTTTATGTGCTTTTTTTAAATCATCGGTTTCACTTTGCTGTTCGGGGGTTTGTTTTCTTTTATTGGCAAGTTAGCTGCATCTCCTTTTGGTTTCCCTCTCTTGTCTCTTTGTCTTTTTGGCTAACCGGGGGCGTGCAGTGCACTGTGTGTGTCTCTCTGTAGTTTTCCGTGAAATTCCGAATCTTGCTCCTACAAGCAGACATTTTGGAAAGATTATTCATGGAAAAGGGTGCGGAAGGGTGACTGGTGGCTGGGGCTTGGGCAGTGATTTTCATCTTAAGGATAAACACATTTGTAGGAGAAGTGGGTGAAATGTGAGTCCTACTTAAGTTTCCCATGCCATTCATAAACTGGATTGGAAGATAAAAATCTCCCTGCTGTGAACACGGAAACACATCATAACACATCTCTTCCTCTGCAGAATCCTTATCCTGGGTTAATCACAACGTCACCTCTTGTTTCTATCTGTGCAACTTTTCCTTCATGTGAACCCTGAAAAAAGCAGCACATCAAATTCCTGCTGCTACTGATCCCATTTTTCTCTGATCAGCTTCGTAGTTAAGTGAGTGAGAGCACATGAGGACAATGGTGGTTGCACTGTTTTTAATTTTGGGGGGGGAGAGGAGCCTAGAGAGAGCTGTCAGTCTGATGGGTCAGTTGAGGGCTATAGATGTTGTAATTTCATAACTCAGTTATTCTATACTTTCTTCTCTCTCTCTCCATTTTTGTCTTACTTGACAATTTTTCAGTGATCTGGTGATTTTCAAAGAGTGCATAATAGATGACTGAATTAAAATTAGATTTTCTTTGGTATTGCCTAACTTCTTTCCCCTAGCTCAGAGGTGGTCTGTAGGCAGAGCCAATGCACTCTTTTGTGTGTGTAGAAAAATGACCTGTTTCTTCATCCTGCATAAAACTTCCTTCTCCCCCTGTTTTCTTTTCAGTCACTGTGAGGGACGATGCTGTGCTCCTGGCACCTTCAAGAGGGTCCTGGTGTCTGGAGAATAGAATGAAGATTTCAGCAACCCCTGCTAAGGTACCTTTAGGGTATAGAAAGAGCTGCATTTGCAGATTAAAGATTTCTCCAGGTTGGTTTCTTGTCCTGTAAGGATGGGGTTGGGGAAGGGCAGATCTGTGGATCCCACTCAGCAGGGAACCTAGCAAGTTCAGCCAGTGGGTCAGGTGGGTGATTTTCTTGGCTCCCGTTTTTGAGAGAAAAGTGAAGGACAAGCAGGAAGGTCTCTTAGATTGGCTAGGCCTTTTGGGGGCAGTGGAGAGAGGCTTGGGTATAGCCACATAAGCCTGAGAAGCTTGCCCTTACTCTTGTCACCTTGACTGCCTTTGACCTACCCTAGAAGTCCCTTCGGACTGAAGATAGAGACCTCCTTCTCATCTCCCCACCCCTTTCACACCAATCCTTGAATCTCGCTCAAATGAATCAGCAGCAGAAACTCAGAAGCTTCTGTTTGCTCACAGAAGCTGCTAACATCGTAGCCACTAAGCGGCCACAGCTTTAGCAGCATTTGATTAATCTCTGGCCAGATAATCATTGAGAAAAGGAAAGGGGGCTGGGGAGGAAAGTAAAAGCATTTAGGCTGCCTGCATGGAGAGAAAGAGACTTCTGGAGACAGAACAGACCTGAGGGCATAGCTCGATTCTGCTACTTAGTAACTGCATGACACCCAACAAATCTACTTCCTAGAGGTTCAGTTTCACAGTATGTAAAATGGGCACATTAGTGCATGCCTTCTTTTTTTCCCTGACGTTATTCCTAGCTACTCCTTGCTTTTAATTGCTGCCACCCTGCTCAGGCCTTTACCATCCCATCTGCAGCACTTTAGTGTATATGTGTCACCTTTCCTACTGACTTTTGAGCCCTTGGAAGTCAATAGCTGTGTCTTATTACATCTTTGGGACTTAGTCTAGGGCTTGGTACATAGTAGATGCTTGATAGACACAACAATGGCTAAGTGATCATAGTGAGGTTAAATGGTATGAGACAGGTGAAGTTCCTGGTACATAGTAGGTACTCAATAAATGGGGGTTTCCTCTCATTTCTCCTCCTCCCATTTACATTCAGATCGGTCTCCAGCTTCTTCTTCCATCTAACTCATGCGCCACTCCTCTTCCCCCTTCCCAACGTAGCTCTACTCCTTAGGTTCCTTGTGCAGACCAGGCAAGCCACCTGGGAAGAGCTGTCTTGGTGCAAGTCCCATTAGACTGTCTAGATCCACCAGGCACACATACTTAGCAGCTGCTGAATGGACGCTCTTAGGGGAGCAGCTTTGTGTGCCTGCAGTTGGTTACTTGGTAAGGGCTTAGAGGAAATTAGCTGAAATGCCACAGGCCTATTTTGAGCTCCTTCTTTGATGGAGTGGAAATAACATGGGATTTGGGAGCAGCAGACCTGGCCTTGAAGCACAAGGCTGACATTTCCTCATTGTTTGACTTGTGCAGTCACTTACCTTCTCTGAACTCTCTCTTCATCTGTCAAGGAGGACCATGGGTAAGAGCCTTACCGTGTGGTTGTCAGTCTTATATATTAAAGGCAATGACAACAGCGAACGTGCCAGGTGCTGATCTAAGTGGAATTCCATCATTATTCCCATTTTACAGATGAGGAAACCGAGTCACATAATGGTTTTTAAGTATCTGGCCTAAGTTTGTTCAGTTAGTGAG